TATAAAACAAGACAAGAAATAAATACAGCCTTTGTTCAAACATTCATATTTACAGTTCTCAAATAGCTGCACACAGCGTATAATGAAACAATGATGACCTGTAGCTTTATTTATTTTTATTTTAGACAATCAGGGAAACCTTTGTTGGTTCGGACAACTAGAAAAAAATTTGGAAGAAAACCACGGGAGAAAGTTAGTTTTTGTTCATTCTGTTGGTTAGAAAATGAAGTTATACAGAAATCCTCAACATTGGGGGGTCAGTGTTTGTTCAGTTTGTTTTTTTCGATTGAAACAAAGAAACCATTTCATTCTTTGTTTACTGACCCAAAAAGAAAATTTGGATCACCAACCATTGTTCTATTTGTGAATGAAATGAAAATAAAGCAGATGGTGAGTGCTCACTTTTTATTTTTTTATATTTTTGAGWCAAGTGGCCTGACCCGAATGTTCTCTCTGCCCGTCGTGTAGTGAGCCGTTTGTTTAAACACGTCTAAAACAGTGCAGAATTCATTTGGTCATATTTACACACAGAAAACCTTATCAGATGGTTCAGAGCCCACTTCCTGGTTCGGCAAATTAAATATCACTACGGTTGGACACCGATCTTTTAGGCTTTTCTCAGTTTCTAATCCACATACAAAACAAATGTTAGGATGTGAGGTTTTCTGTGTGTAAATACTGCATGCTGGGCCACGAGMCAGGCCACTTGACTTAAGAAATTAATAAATCAAAAGTGAGCACTTATTGATTTTCGTTTAGTTCACAAAATCAAAAATTAGATATTGTTCATTGTCCAAGTTTTCAATTTGGTTCAGTAAAAATATATATATTTTTTTCTTTTTTTTTTCAAACAAACAAACAAACAAAAAAAAACTGTGAAAATACACTAACCATTACACGAATGGGTTACTTAGCTACAGCCACTGTTTTTTCACCATTAAAAAGGAGTTCATTAGATTCTGTGGTTCAGTTGTAACTCTGTTGCAGTTTGACAATAACTTCAGAAACCTACAAAACAAATAAAAATAAACTGAARGTGACGACTCAGCACAAAGGCCAGAAGCTCTTCGACAAGAACTCCCTRCTAGATTAGAAATGAAACACTCTTATGACAGATGGCAGACAAACAAACGCAGCTTCTGCAAATATAATCCAACATTAATGCCAACTACAGCAATTTATATTACTTTCAGAATCATCAGCTTTAGATGAGATTAATCCTATTTGTGGACAAAACACAACAAACAAAATGTGGAAGAAGAGATTCCAGTCAGGCACCGCAAACACCCTGAAGCCAAATAATACACAGCAGGCGTACATTATGGGATGGAATAATGAATCATATTAAGGTAAGCGATCGTGCCGAGCCACAGTTTTTTCCATTAGTGAGCACATTCAGACGGAGCGGAACGACGTTTCCTCATAGAAAATGTTTTCAACAATCATCGCGGGACTCATTTTAATTCATCTGTTCGTGTTTTAGGACTGTAAAAAAGGGCGGTGTGTCAGATATGTAGAGCTTCAAATTTTAGCCATTTTTACAGGATTCTTCTGCGTATAGATAAAACTACAGCGTCCTTCATTGTGAAAGAAAAAAGTTACCATGTTCAAACAGCAGTTTTTGACCATAAAAAGACAATTTCAACACTTTACCAACAACTGGCTAACAAGTCTTTTTTATATATTTATTTTTAAATAGTGGCTTTACCACTGTATATAGGGTAAAGTCTGCAGGACAAATCACTTCTAGTTTAAAACGAGGACATTCGATGGTGAGCTCCACCTCCACGCAGCCTCCAGGTTGTCTCTCGAGGCGTCAGTCTTTGTGTTCGTTATTAACGTGTTACATTCTGTAAATCTATCTCTTGGGTCTYTCGATGTCATCAATGGCCGCTAGAAGTTTCTGACGAGCCTTCTTGTTGATATGTGAGCCCAGACAAACATTCACCAAGTTGGCTAGCTGCTTCATGGAGTACTCCTGCAAAAATGCACACACAGTCGGGAAACATTAARATTTCCAAACGTTAACCACAGTTATTAAAAACATGGTTCGTGTTTCACCACCTCACCCTGTGGTTCTTGATAAACTGCTCCATGTCGTTCTCAGTCAGGTAGTAGGCCTTAATGTAGGTTTCCACAAACTCCTTGTCGGGGATCGGCCGCAGGTCCGTCAGTTTCTCCAGCTTCATCAAGAACTGCTGGAAATCCAGCTGCATCAAGGCGCGGCCCTCGTTGCTACATTTCTTCACGTTAGCGTAGCTTCGGTGGAYAACAGAGAAGCAAAATGAGATTAGTTTTGCCCTAAATACGCATCAATATTCATGTTTTCATCATYGCAGTGATTGGTCATACATGTTTGCCTGAGGGGTGGTTTGGSTCCACACATATTCACCACATAAATACTTAAAGCCAGATATTTTCATCATGACAAGCCTGCAGTGTGTACGATCTACAAATCTGTTCTGATGCAATTTTACACCACATATCAACAAGATTTACATTTTATTATTATTTTTTGGATGTGGACATGAAAAAATATAAATATTAAGAAAATTAAAAAAGAATTGCAAAAATTCCTATTTCACTGAAAAACCATTGCTAGTTGGAAGGTGTATTAG